CCACTTTAGGTGTATGTGGCTGGCGCCTTAGCCACTTGAGCCACAGGTGCCGAGCCAACAATGACAATTTTTAAGCACAGGGCTGAAATGAGGCCATAGAGATCACATCCTTCCTGGCACACTGCCACCAAGAGACTAGGGCACTTCTTCAAAATTATCCCTAACATTTTCCATTATAAAAGCAATAATTATAACAGAAATATGTTTAAGAGGAAAAAGAAAAAAAAAGAATCTATCTTTAATCCTACCCCTTTAATGCACCTGCTATTAGAAGTTTATGGCATTTGCGAGGACCGTCATGAAAGCATTCATGAACGCAAACTGACACACAGGCCCAGAGCCCCGTGGCTGAAAAGTATCACTTATCTCAGCTCCAATCATCACCCTATTGCCTAATGTGCTAGAAAACTTCATCATGTTTTCCTTATTTATTTCACATCTGTGGTGTTATGTCCCTGCGTCCTGTAACCTGTGAGTCCCACCCCTTTGGGGTGTCCCAGCTTGTCAGGACAAACCAAAGTCTAATTTCCCTGTGTTGGCTTATGACCTCCCTGCCTCCCTAAAATGTGTAAAATCTAATGAACCCAGTCACTTTGGGACTCAGCTTCGTGGATTTGTAGATCCTTTGGCCAGCAGTCACACATATTTGCCTCAGAATAAAACTCTTGAAATAATTTCTTAGAGTTTTTATTTTTTTCTATTAGCACTAAAAAAATAAGAGCCAGGTCAGGCTACAAGCAAATGGCATAAGCCTCGCCAAGCTGGTGCCATCCCAAACTCCCAGACTTTGTGGGTAGGGCAGTGCAGTTCAGGACACCACTTAGAATCCACTGTGGGTGTGGTAGCTGTATCCAGGGTCTAGTGACAGCAGCGCCAATGGGCTATCTGCACACAGGGCGGGAGGAGGCACGGTCACAGTGCCCATTGCAGAGTCCTCACCAGATGCTCCCAAGGCTGTGGTTCTGCCTATGATTCTGGCTATGGCTCTGGCTGTGGTTCTGGCTGTGGTTCCAGCAGTGGTTGCACCTGTGGTTCTATATGTGGTTCTGCCTGTGGTTCTGGCTGTGGTTCTGGCTGTGGTTGCACCTGTGGTTCTG